GGGGGACACGGCTGTGAGGGCTGACTGACTGACTGACTGAGGGGCACACACCTGTGAGGTGAGGTGAGGCGAGGTGAAGCCTGCCTGAGGGGGATATGCCCGCCGCGGCGAGCCCAGGCCTGCCTGAGGGGACCGTGGAGGGAGGCGCGGGGGCACCGAGCGAGCCGGGAGCGCTCCTCACCCACCTCTTTGATCTTCATCCTGCGGGCGCGGGTCTCGGGGTCCTCTCCGGGCCGCTCGCCGCGCACCGGGTGCCGGAGGCTCCGGCGGAACCGCTCGTAGTCGAAGCGGAACGGGGCCCGCGTCTCCCGGGCCGGGGGCGCAACGCTGGCGGGCTGCGCTCGGCTGTCGGCGCCCTGCACCTGCTGCCGGGAGCCGGGAGCGGTGCGGGCCGGCGGGCCGGCCATGCGGGCGGCCGTGCGGAGCTTCTCCCGCAGGCGGCGCGGGGCGGCGGGGCTGGCGTGGCGGGGCTCGGCGGCGGCGGGGGGGCTGCGGGGCAGGTCGGTGTCGCGGGTGGAGGAGGAGGAGGCTGAGGACGAGGAGGCGGAGGATGAAGAGGAGGCGGAGGCGGTGGCCCGGCGGGGTAGGAAGAGGCGCTTGAAGCGGGAGGAATCGGGCAGGAGGAAGAGGGCCCCGAAGCAGAGCGTGAGCAGGCCCGAGAGGAAGAGCAGGAACAGGAACTTCTGCGGCAGCCGCAGCCCCAGCGCCGCCGGCCAGCCCGGCATGCCCGGCAGCTTCCGCAGCAGCACCATGGGGCACCGGATCGCGGCCGCCGGGCGGGACCCGCCGCCGCGCCGGGGGCTGCCGCTGCCTCCTGCGGCGAAACGCTCAGCGGGGCCCGCCCTGAGCACCGCCGGCCGCCTTCACCGGGGACCGCACGTGGGTGGCTCCGGGCCGGGCGGAGCGGCGCTTCAGCGTCCCCCCTGCCGGCATGAAGGCGGCGGCGAGCGCATCCCGCCGGGGCCGGGCGGCGAGCGGCGGCGCGGGGCTGGGCTGGGCTGCGAGCGGCGGCGGTCCCGGTCCCGGTCCCGGTGCGGGCTCCCGGCCGGACGGTGCTCCGGGGCTGGCTCAGGCAGCGGCGCCGGGGCGGTGCGAGCCCGTCTGTCTAGGCGGCGGTGGGTTCATGCTGCAGCATTTCTGCGGGGCGGGAGGAGACAAGAGTGCGGTCATTCAACACCGCCGAGGATGCGGCCGGCGAGATAAACCTTTGTCCCCGGCCGGTCCCCCACCCTCCAGCGGCACTAGTTCGGTTCCCTTTCTCCGGACATGGCATCAACTCTCCGGTGAGCGAGCAGCTCGCAGCTCTGCACCATCTCCCCTCCAGTGCCGGGATGCCGGGCTCTGCTGGCGGCGGGGACAAGAGGGAGAACCCCGAGAGGGACAAGGTGCTCTGGGACACCCCGGGAGGGGCAGGATGCCCTGGGACACAGCACAGACAGACAGGGATGAGGCTGCTCCGCTGCKCTGCCGCGCACGGCTGGGGACGATAGGGCTGCAAACCAGCCATGCGGAAAGCTCGGCTCGGGCTGAGCTTCTCGAGGCAAAAAAAATAGTAATAAAAAAAAAAGAAATCTGCGGGTTTTGGTTTTGCTGAATAGATCCCGGCAAATTCCTGCTTTCTCACAAATCTCTGTCTGTCTGCTAGAGTTACCCATAGCCCCTCCAAATCCTCTCCTTGTAGAAGAGACAGAGCTCAACTTTCTGACCCCACAAGGCAGGAGGACACGGCTTAAAACCCTACGTGCGATCCCCAAATCGCCCYTTCTCCTGCGGGCAGGGACAGCGCTGCTCCCCGAGCGCCGTCACAGCCGCCGGGGCGGACGCTCTCCTACCCCCAGCGCTGTTTACTCACCCCTCTGACAAATCCAAGCCTCTCTGGCTCCTACAGTGAGCAAAATCTTCTCAGTCCTGCCCGCTCATCCCAAAAGCGACAGCCCCTCGCGTCTGCCAGCGCTCCCGGGTGCCCGTTCAATTAGGAGAGGGAARCGATTGCGATCTCCGGGGAACAGCTCCTCTCCCTGCCTATCAGAGCATCCAGGAGGGAAGCAYCTAAGTGCACCGAGCTACTCGGAAGGCTGTGTTTCTGCCCGCCTGGCCGCCCGGCGCGGACACCGGCGGGGCAGCGCTGCCCGGTGCCTGCACACGCAGCGCGGGAGCCCCGCCCGCCCCGCCGCTCACTGCGACAGCGCCCGGCCCCGCCCCCGCCGCGCCCCCCGCCACGCCCCCTCCCGCCAACGGTCACTCCGCCGCCCCGACAGCCAATCAGCGCGCAGGCCTCTCCCCGCCCTCGCTCGCTATTGGCTGGTGGGTCACCCCCCGCTTCGCCCATTGGCTGCTGCCCGCGCCAGGAAAGCCGCGGGCTCCGCCCCCTTGTTTACCACAGCGCTCCTGCTCGAGCTCGGGGAGCGCCTGGCCACGCCCTTTCCTCCAGCCGCGGCCTCCCATTGGCTGCGAGGAACGCCCCTTCCGCGCTGCGATTGGCGGAGGGGAGGCGCCGCTGCTTTAAAAAGGGGCTGCGGGCGCGCGGAGGCTCCAGAAGCTGTGAGGAGTTAGCGGCGGTTGGTGTGGTAATGTGCACCGTTTCTGCATTTCACGTATCGTGAGGGCTCTGAGGGACCGATTTACCCAGAGATTCCCATGAGAGGCTCCGTACCCTGCGGGTGCCATGGCCCGGGGGACATTGCCTCCCTGCCTGGCACGAGGAGGGGARYAGAGGCCTCAGAGYGGAGCTGGAGATGTCTTGGGAACCYYTTTTCTRGTGTATATGAGCCCATGTTSAAGAGCCGTGAARCACATCTTAACCCCCAATCCTTAAATCCACACCTTAACCTTCAAMGTACCACCAAATAAATATGAGAGTGACCCTGTCAGGTAACACTACCAAAAAGCAAGAGAGTAAATCAAAATTTCTGCCCATAAATATGACAAAAAACGCCCTCAAACCTGCAAAATGAGCAATGAAAGGGAGAAAAAGGCTTCACCCACACCCGGAGGCATCTGAAACCCCTCAGGGATAACTGGATGGGTGGAGGGGGGCCGGATGAGRCTCCCAGGAAAGGGTAAACAGCCACCGGAGAACGGCTGTGACTAAACTTGGAAGAGYTAAAAGGGAACATTTTGTAGGCTGGAAAGGAGCTGGAACTGTGAGGAAAGAAATCATCTGCTGTTTGCGTCTGCCTGCGCTCAGTGKGTGCCTCCTGCACAATAACCAGCACCGCAGGGGACAAATACCTGAGCTGATTGCTGGGGCTGCTGGCCACACTCCAGGCTGCTCACCGACAATCACAGACACAGCTATATTGCCATTTTCCCATCAAAAACGCTTTCAGGGCTATAAAGCAGGCAGCGATCAAGGTYATGGAGCTGCCCTTGACCCAGGCCGGCGATTGAACTGTTTCACCTTCCCCACACTCCGCCACTGCTGCAGGTTTAGTCCAAATAAACCCAAAAAAACCCCTGACACTCTCAGCTCCAGTGCCTGCCTGGCAGACCTTGAAGGCGGCCACCTCCGAGGTGAATTTGCATCTTGATGATTTGCGTTTGAACTCGCTCTTTCCACRGTCCCCTGTGGTTCACAGGCAGGGCTGGGGCTGAGGCAGTTGTGGGTGCCAAAGCCTGGCCACCATGAGCACCAAGGCCCGGCCACCTCAGGCACCAAGGCTTGGGCATTGTGGGCACCAAGGTCTGGCCACTGTGGGCACCAAGGAATGGCCACCGTGGACACCAAAGCTTGGCCACCACAGGCACCAAGGTCTGGCCACTGTGGGCACCAAGGTCTGGCCACTGTGGGCACCAAGGCCTGGCCACCATGAGCACCAAGGCCTGGCTACCATGGGCACCAAGGCACGGCCACCGTGGACCCCAAGGCCCGGCCACCATGGGCACCAAGGTGTGGCCACCATGAGCACCAAAGCCCAGCCAACACATGTTTTTTTCCAGAGCAGCTGCTGCAGCAAAGCCCAGCCCAGCTGCTCTCCCTTCCCTGCCCCGTGGATGCTCTGGGAAGGAGAGGAGGGAGCGATGTGGCTGCTCCATCTTGGCAGGTTGGCACCGGGGCACGGCAGATGCTCCGCAGGCTCCTGGCAGCCCCGGGGAGCAGCTTGCAAAGGAGGGTTTGGTTCTGCTCAGGAGAAGGGGAGAAGCCTCKGAGCCAGCTGCCAGTTCCATTTTTTTGAGCTCCGATGGATTTTGGCAGGGTTTTYACCTCGGGCAGCCCGCAGGGACTGRCACCAGCAAGACACCATCACTCCSTGGGCTCCCACATCCCTTCTCCCCACACCTCACCTCAGACTGGACAGAAATAATCCTTCACCTTCCTGAAACCTCCTCCTCCCTGGGGAAACCTCACACAGCAGGCTGGCTGCTTTTTGTCTCATCCTTATTAAAWAAAAAMCAAAAAAACAACCCAAACCAAGCGAACAAAACTGCAGCAAACAAAGCTCTCTGCTGTTCCTGCGGTGGTCTCTTGATCTCCTCAGGGATGGCAAAGGTTAGACAGCTCCACTTCCTAAGAGGATTTGGGGGCATCAAGGAGGATAATAAATAAAAATCGACAGCAGAGAGCAAACCAGAGGGATGATAAAACAGCAAACCAGTTTTGAGCAAACCAAAGGGCTACACCTCACTCCTCATTCCAGGCAGCGGCAGTGGAAAAGTTGGAGGCTTATCTTTTAATTAGGTTAAATTAGGAAATCTTTTTGTTGTGCTTTGTCTTTAGCATAACATTGTCTTGGAGGTAAAAGCTTGGAAATGGAAGGTTTTCTAGATTAGGTTAAATTAAGATATTATGCTTCTTAAAGAAGACAAAGCATTGTCTTCAAGGTAAATGTTTAATTACATTTTAAAAACAATTTTGTCTGTGCAATAATAAGACAGAGCCCAGCTCTGCCTGTGACTGCAGTTCCAGACAGAAGCCAAATAAATTGAGAAATTGGTGTTGAAGGAGTTAGGAGGCAGAGTGTAATTACTGAGGAAATGGGGGTCCTGCTGCATTATGATTCTTGTTTTTTAGAAGGTCTAGAAGAAATAATTTAGAGAAAATTACTTTTTTTTTTTTACTTTTTTTTTTTAATGGGCATAAGAAAAATAGAATTTAATATCCACCTTTCTGTGAGGAAGCAAACTCCAGAGTGACAGATAACACTCAGGGCAAAGGAGTTTGGCCCAATTATTGCCCTCAAACCTCCAGACTGTTYTTTAAAGAGCCTCGATGTTTATTCCCCTCTCAGAGTGCAAAATGCTCCCGGTTCTGGCTGGAGGAGCAGCCGGGATGAATCCCAGGGCTGGAATTGCACTCCAGACAGCCCTCTCTGGCTCCGGAATCGCTCCAGCCAGGCGGTTTTGGGCATGAGCCGTGCCAGGATGGAGCAGGCAGATGGCACAGAGGATCTGTGGCATTGGCAGCAGGGGCAGAGCCAGCAAAATGTGGGTTTGAGGAAGGAAAAGGGATGGGGAGAGAAGGGAAAAATGGGGAGAGAAGGGAAAAATGGGGAGAGAAGGGAAAAATGGGGAGAGAAGGGAAAAATGGGGAGAGGGGAAAGGAGGAGGAAGAGGAGGGGAGGAAGGTGAAGGGAAAGGAAGAAGGAAGGGGAGAGAATGGAGAGAGAGGGGAATAAAAAAGGAGGTAGGGAAGAGAAAGGAAGAGAGGAAAAGGAAAGAAAGAAAGAAGGGAAGGGAAAAGAAATAAGGAAAATGAAACTAAAGGAAAATCAAGCCAACAAGCCAGGCTTGTTCCATTGTAGTGGAAAGGGATCGTCCATCTGAGTGTTTGCTTGGGATCAGAGCAGGGGAAATGCAGACATTTAAACCTGGCTGAGCTATGATGCAAAGAACGGCCCTAAACTTGAGCAGGGCTTATCTCCACTGCGGGGAGAAGGAGCTGAACAATCCCTGATGGGCTGTAATGACTCAGGACAGGAGAAATGTGTGCGGTATCGATTATCTGAGGGCTGGAGAAACACGAGCAGCGGGCAGGAGGCTGCTGAGAAGGCTGGTTAATTAAAGAAGCTCATTAATTGCTCCCTGGACATGGATTGGTGCTCATGCAGGGCTCCAGTTGAGGGATTGCTGGGATTGTCTGGGGAGGAATTCTCACCAAACTCCTGAAAAGCTGGGCTGTAACAACAACCCAAGCATGGTCATGTTGGGTGCATCCAGAACCCAGGGGAATTCAGCCAGCACAGCTCATGGAGCACCAACCTGCACATGGAGCAGGAAAACTGATGGATGAAATGGGAAAGGAAGGCAGGAGAAAGATAAAAGAGGAGGAAAATCTTCTTTCCTCCTCCTTCAAGGAGCCCCTCAACATCTCTCGACCATCCCGTGCTGCCAAGGAGGACGTTTGCAGGCTGGGAGTTACAGAAATGGATAAACTGGAAGTTTTGGGGTTTRCCCTGATTTAATTTGGAGAATTTTAATGAGATAAAAGCAGTTCTAAACCCCCTCTCTGCCAGTCATGGTCAGGAGGGAATGGGCAGTGCACAGAAAGCAGCTGCCTCACCTGAAGCTGCAGAAATGCTACAGCCACATCCAAAACACAGAAATTGGGATATTTATCCCTCCTAACTCCGAATTCTGGRGCCTCATCACACGCTGATCTGCAGGTCTGGCTGCTTTGCTTTTACCTCCACATTCCTGCATGCAAGATAGCAATTACCTGAATTAAGAGTCACAYTTAGGGATGCACAGAAGCCTTGCTGAGAATTCCAAGGGTTCTCTGCAGGCAGGAGAGAGAGATTTTCACGATAAAAACCCTGTCACCTCAGCCAGACTCATGTTCTGTCCCAGAAGAGGGAAGAAAAACCATTCCCATCTGAGACAACAACCTGCTCTTCATCCCTTACACAGGAATTGTGTAGGAATCAGCTCTCACAAGAGGAGGAGCTTTGCTTAATCATGGTGAAGGTCTACACCTCAGCAATCTTTTCTCCTGTGTGCCAGGGAAAATATCAAACACGCTGAAGAACAGCACAAAAGCAGCAACACAACATAAGGCGCACGGAGGAGAGAGCAGGAGCATTTCTGGTTTTTTATTTTCCTGTAAAACAGGTGACTAATGGAGCAGGCTGCAGCTTTTTTTCCTTATTTTCATGAAAATCAGCACCATCAGAATGTCTCTGTTCCATTTTCCTCTGCTTAAATAAGGCAAGGCCACAAGRATGCCATGAATTTGCTCT